CTATCAATTCCAACCAACAAGTATTTCACGCAAAAGTCCATACTTCGTACTAACCCATAGGAGCAAAATGCTTAGGCACTATTTAACTATTTTGCTTAATATAATTTGCCAAAAATGACACTTTAACTACAATTTCAACTTCTTGCTGATTCAACGAAAAGTTCTATTTAAATTTCGGATTCGATTTTTGAGCTCCCAAAAACACTAGTTAACAATATTCACTTTCCAAAATTAAAGTTGCATTCTCATCTTCACTATTTGCTCATCATCTTTACATAAACGCCATACACAAGCCATATTTTATTTTTGTTTACAGAAATTATTTTCCGTACCAAACCATTAAAACTACTTATTTTATTGTTTTTGTTAGAATTTTCATTTCACGTGTGTTTTAAAATCTTAAAACTCGAAAATTTATTTTGCTAGATTCTCCAAGGCCTTAACCTAGGTGCTAAGCAAGCTCGTAACACCAAGGTGTTACATTGTATTACATAGTTTTGCTGTTGCTATGACAGACACTAGAGAATGGAGCATTCCCTTTTGTTGGTCATTAACAGGTTATGAAGTCTGTTCTGTTTTCTCCTTGCATGCAAGCTTTGTGTCCTTGAGAAAAAAAAAGTTATAGCTTTTATCAATAGTGATATGGTTAATTGGTTGCACGAGAAGCATCTCCAAATTGATATCTGATAATCATATACTGCACTGCATGCAATTGTTATCGCTTGCTCCATTATATAGAAGTAGGCTGGCAAATTCGCAATGTGTCATAAAATAGTTGTATATGCTAATATGCACATGAACTGTATTGTCAACCAGAATAACATATCCACATAATTAATTCAAGGAAATTTGGAGCAAGAAATATAATGGATTCAATGTGTTTACAGTCAGAGATTCCAAAAAATAGACTATGCTAGGTTGTTGGATGTATGGACGAACTAATTAGGAAGTGATGAGATTGCTGTCCCAATCCAAACACAGGTTAAAAACCGGAGAATCTCCAAAATGATTACTTCTTCAAACAAGGAAAATGCAGTGACAGTCATCCAATAACAGCACAAAGGGAGTGGGCAAAATTAAACAGCTGGTATACCAAGGCTCCATAAAAAGGTTCTGCTGCTTTGCCTGTAAATAAACACCTAACAGAATGCAGAGTTCGGATGCAGTGTTCTGCCACTTCCAGCTCGTTGTGTCCTAGGAATATGTTCTAATTACAACTCATTTTCACTTAAGGCTTTGTTTGGATGTTGTCACATTCATATCAATCCACATGTGTGGTGAAATTTAGTTTAAGTTACACTCCAATCCACTCCATCACACGTGGACTGATGCGAATCCGACTATATCAAACAAGACCGAAGTATTGAACATAGTGCCAGTACCAATATGTAGTGCTTTTCGAATTTCGAAGGGTGGCTTCAGAAGATTAGTAGTACAACTGTAGAAGTAAACAATACTGGAGTACTACTGCCAGAAAATGAACGAAAAATGTCAGGGCACTCACCATCCAGCCCGAGCATCCATCCTGACCTCCTGGCATCCTTCACATGTGGCCGCTACCGATCTACCAGAAGGCAGATTCCTGCTTCAACCCAGCACCAGCGAGCAGCGCCGCGAAGCCCCGTTCCTAGGTTCCTCCCGCCGGACACCAGGCACCGCCAACATGGCCTCCGGCAGTCGGGCCAAAGCAGTACGGGACGACCCAAGCCGAGTCGCTCGGGAGCTCATCTCCGGTGTGGCTAGTTTGCCACCGGGAGACCCGCGGGACCGCGTCCGTCCGCCACGGGTTAGGCTTAGGCGGGGCAGTCGCCGGCCGGATCCATCTTTTTCGTCCTTTTTTTTTTTTTTTTTTTGAGGGGATCTTTTTCGTCCATCTTGATTGATGAACTCCGGCGCGGGCCGAAACGGGCCGGATATCGGCCCCTCCCTCTCGTAACCCGTTGCAACCAAACTGATGGGCCACTGATGTTTTCGAGCCCATCATCATAAAATAATGGCTCTCGCAGCAGCCCAGTACGATAAGGAAGAAGTGCTCCTGACCTCATGGATAGTCTGATTATCTCCTTTAACTATAAAACCGGTAACCTCCATAGACGATCAAAGAAATAAGATGACCGGTTTGATCTTCAATGTACTCTTATTTTTTAGAGGTTATTTTGTGTCAAGTTATTCTTTTGTATAGACTATTGTTTTCCTCGATATATATCAGATATGACACACTCTTTTGAGTGTCTTTCTCAAAAAAAAAAAAGGATAACTTATATGAGTGGTTTTGTAAGCGTTTTTAGCTGATGTGGTGGCATAGCCATCATCTTACATGGCATCATGATAGTTCAGAAAGATCAATTAATCTTTCTAAAAATATTATAGAAATAAATTTCCAAAAAAATATATAAATATTTTTAAATAAAATATACATTTATAAAAAACACTAAAATCTAATTGAGTAATAAAACATATAAAATTTGTTTAACTCAGAAAATTATAAAAATATGAAACCAGTTTTATATTTTTCCTAAAATCAAGCTCTACCTTTTTTCTTGCTTAGAATTATTTGAATCTTACATGGTCTACTGAAATTTGAAACTAGCCAAATATGAAATGGAGGATGCAAATAAAAAGACAAAATTTTGAGATTGCAGCGTGAATCATTGCGCAACCCCACCATGCAAACTAAAAGAATGTTTTCTCAGCATCAATGTCTAGCTTAACCGTTGAGACATGCGTAAGAAAGTTCAAATAAAAAATATAATTCAAGCTTTGATTGCACAATAACAACATGTCAACATGTACCATGTGGTTTAACTTTGTATTTGCACTATCTTCTTTAGGGGACATCACAACTGTGACATGTGCAAGATGATTGGACCATCAGCAGCAGCTGGCATACGAGTATACGTCCTCTACGACTTGGTCAACAACATCTGAACGGACGTGACTGATTCCTCATTCGTCATCACCGGCGTAGGTCTGCGCATGCACCGAGAGCACATGATCGAGTAGAAAGGCAGTTTGGATGGACTCGGGAGACTTCATATATTTCCCAAAATCATGATCTATATATCCCTAACTCATGATCTATAAATCGATTAGTTTCAACCGTTTGAAGTGCATAAACATCCGGTTTTATAGTTAAAGTAGGTAAATCGGATTACCCCAATAATTAGAAGGAGGTCAGGAGGACTTTTTCCATCCCATAAATCCTTCCAGTACCGTACAACCTTGCTTGTTCTGACCAACCGTAAAACTTCTCCTCGAAAAAAAACTTTATTTTTTCGCTAAACAAACGCACAAGCTGTTACTTGCCGGTATTTGAATACCAGTTCTTGGGCAACGACATGTTCGGCTTGTATTAAAGCCGGCTGACAAACGAGCTGAAGTTAATTTGTTGTAAGAGAAAAATATTGTAGATTCTAACTGATAAGCCGGCTGATAAATTCAAACGAACAAGCCCGTAAAACTGAAATGCGTAACAAAAGTTAGTTTAAGAAACAAGAGGCCCCGAATTCAGAGTGCGCCATCACTGTCTCGCATAACCGCATGACATCATCGTTGTCACGTACTCCCTCCATCCTAAAATAAGTGTACTTCTAAAATTGAGGTGAAGAGCTAAAGGTTAGTGTGAAATTACATATATGTTCCTGTAAAGGTGTAATGATCGCACCTTGAGAAAAGAGAAAGTAGAAAAAGACAAGTGAAATTAGTTTCTCCTATACTCCCTCCATATAGAAAAAAAAATGACGTTTAGGACAGCATTTAGCATACCAATGAATGATTAATTAGGGTAAAGTTTTTCCTGTTTGTCCCTATTAAATACTGCTTCGCTTATGCGTTCCATACGAGAAAGTTTCCATCAACCGGTTAGCGTATCGAGGTGTGAGGCTGGTGAGCCGAGTTCGATTCCGGGCGCCCACAGTTTTGCTTCATTTTGCATGGCAATGGGTGATTTTTGCATGGCACTGTTTCTGCCGTTGAGATGCACGAGACCACAGCGAGAGCATGGCCAGAACCGCGAGTGCTCACGGTTCCATGCTTCGCGGTCCTCATGGACGAGATGACAACTACCGCATACAAAAGCGCCCGGCGGCAAGGCATCCGGCACCATCTCCGAGTCCAGCGTGAGCTCCTGCAACTCCGGCGTGACGGAGTCCGGCGCGATCTGCGAGTCCGGCACGAAGGACTCCGGAGTCCGCTCCACGTCGCCAGAGTCCTCCTCGACGACGACTTCCTTTGCCATCTCCATGGAGTCCGGCGCCAACTCCTCCGACGTCGAGTCCGCCTGTGCTGGATCCATGGCGAGTCGAGCGGCGGCGAGCTGGATCCATGGCGAGCGAGCGAGGCGAGCTGCGACGATGGCTTAATAAAACGCGAGTGGAGAGCAGCGAGGGCGATAGGCGAGCGGCCACGGCGAGGATGGGAATCGAGGAGAATTAGCTGCGGCGTGGACCGGTCCTGTCATCGATGTGCGGTGCATGCATCGAAGGGTAGGGGCATTAGCGTCGTTGGGGCCAGAACATCGTTCTTTACAATCTTGCGTATAGGGATAAGGGCGTCGTTTTTTTTATACGGAGGGAGTACGTAGAGGTGCATTTATTTTGGAAAAATTTTAAATTCTAGAAGTTGCTCTTATTATGGGGGGGGGGGAGTAACGGTAAATTCGTGCTCCGTCAAATCCGGGCCAAATTCGAAGCCCCCCGTGCGGCGCGTACGTGCGCCGGAGAGTAAAGGCAGCTCTCTACACGTCCGTCCTCGGTGGCCGCCGGCTGGGTGAGTTGGAAGGAGGAAATCCCAAACGCTTGGCATAAATACGCCAATCCCGCAGGCATTGATTGCGCGACGGACACGCTCGCCCGTTAATTCCGTGCCGCCCTTCGCCTCTTTCAAATTCCAATCCCCCTCCATTTTCTTCTCTTCCTCCCAAACCAGCACGAGCACGGAGCGAGCAGCTACTCCGGAAACCACTGCATCAACGGAGATCACCGGCGGCCCTGCTCTTCCCGATGCACGCGTGCTTCCATGGCGGCGGCGGCAACAGCAGCAGGATCACCAAGTCCGTCGGCTTCATCGCCAAGAGCGTACGCCGCCTGACATCCCAATCGCTCCCCCTGCTTCTGCTCTACGCGCCCGCGCGCCGCGCGCGTGATGTTGATGTAATGTGATGTCGTGTCCGCCGCTTGCGCAGATGAAGGCCCTGTCCCTCCTAAAGGTGAAGACGACGGGCGACGGCGAGGGCGACGGCCACCCGCGCGCGCCGCGGCGTCGGCGGCGACGGCATCGGAGGCGCTCCCCGGAGGCGGCCGAGGAGCTGCAGGACAAGGACGTCGCGGCGGCATCCTCGCCGGCGTCCTCGTCCGCCAAGATCGCGCCAGCGCAGCCGCACGAAGCCGCCGACGGTGACCGTCGGAAAGATCGCCTCCACCTGGACGAGGAGCAGGGGCAAGGAGGAGCGAAACATGAGCACTGCGACAAGTGCTGCTCGCCGTTGGACGACGACGACGGCGCTGGCGATGCGGAGGCCGCCGCGGGTACGGCGGACGCGGCAAGTGACGGGGAGTGGGCGGCGGAGCCGGAGCCCGGTGTGCTGATGACGCTGGTGTCGCGCGGCGACGGCAGCAACTACCTCCGCAGGATCCGGTTCAGCGAGGAGTACTTCGGCGACGCGTGGGCGGCGCAGACCTGGTGGGCGGACAACTGCGACAGCATCGTCGAGCTCTACAGCGTCGTCGTCCAGCCCGAGCACCACTCGCAGGACGGCGACGACGACGATCCGGCGGCGCCCGTAACCCCATGCCAATCCGAGAACGACGAGCACCAACTGCAGGTACACGATCGGATTCGTTCTGATTCGATTCGATTCGATCTGGTTGGGTTTCCCGCTGTTTCTGAATTCTGATCGCTCGCGCTGTGGGGTGGCCACCTACCTCCACCGTACTCAGCAGCTACTGGCTTGGTACGACAGCAAGGCAATAAAAGATTTGCAATACCGCCATGAACCATCATGATCAATGGAGCATTTCGTTTCAAATGCTTGGCACGATTATTGGCTCCTGATCTCCTGTACTCTCACAACCAGCCATCTTTTCGGTGATGGAGTGCCGTTTCTCTGCAGCTGTACACATGGCGATAAATAGGGCGGCAGTGTACCAACAAAATTAAACTTCCACCTCCGTGCGCACCAATTGCATAGAATCTAGTTTCGCTGCACCTGCACTTCGCCAACGCCTTTTATTTGTACCCAAAGTATCTCACTTAACCTCACAAATATGTGTGTCTGCCCCTTTCTGGATCTTGAGATAGTATGGTACACACTTCTTTTTACATGATATTATGGTATTTACATTTGTAATTGAGAGTGCATTGTGTGTGGTTTCTAGGATGGGATTGGGAACTTGGACTACTCGGCGTCGTGCTCGGCGTCCGCGTCGGGAGGTTCCACTTCCAACTTCTCCGGGCCGTCCAGCGGCAGCGGCAGCGGGTCGGCCAACAAGGTGGACTCTCCAATTCTCGGCCTCGTCACCGAGGCCGACAGCATCACAAGAACAGCCCGGGCGGAGCACAGCCATAAAGCAATGGGACAAGAACAGTGACACTTGTACTTGTTCGTCCATCTTACACCATTGTTTCTGACAGTTTCCACAATGCTTAACTTATAGGCTGCATTCTAAGCAGCTAAAGGATGTTTGGAATTTTGGATAAGTGGTTGTTTGCTGAAAATGTACAGTATTTACTATTTAGCTCAAAATTCAAAATGAATCATAAGCTCAATCCAATGAAACAGGCCTTGTATTTTTTTTATTACTTGTTGTTTCTCAAAGTCGTATGGATTATTCAGACTTTCGATTTATCATAGTCTAATGTATAGATGAAAAACAGAGAAAAGCGTCGGCCGTATGACCAGAGAATCAGTTGGGCATTGCGTGGCACAAGCTTCCCATCAGCACTCTCAACAGAGCTACAGATCAAACAATGTTCATCAGACAGCTAAACATGCAGTTCTTACTTCATAATTTCCAGGTAACCATGGTGAAGCAAAAGGCACTTGAAAAAGAACCTATTTTGATATGGTTGGTTGGACTAGGCCACAAAGTTCAGTTTGGGCTAGTTGTGCAAAGGAAGTCACTTAGAAACAAATGGAGAGTGAAACATTGATGTTAGAAGAGGAAGGGAGGAAGTCACGTGAGAGAATGCTAGCAGTATGTACGCACATGGTCATGTCATGTGTGTAGGTAACTGCATCCGCTACTGAAACCAATGACCATGAAGCTGCAGAAACGCAGCGCTGAACCAGGAAATCTGCAGATATCGGCTAGTATTATGCTAATATAACCTTGTGATGTTGATCGGATTAGGATAAAAAAACGGGCTGACTTTTCGTGATCCAAGCAATGGACCATGGCGCGCGAGCGCGTCGGAGTCACACTCATCCGTGTAGTTTGCCAACCGGGCCGCACGAACACGGCACGGGCACGGGCACGCCACGGAACGGTACTATTAGGCACGGCACTACGCACGATGTCTTATACGTGTCGTGCCGCCGTGCCGGCACCCTGGCCTAGGCACGGCACTACGGCCTCGCATCCGTGCCGTGCCGGCACTACGAGCACGGCCGCGCCAGCGTGCCCGTGCCGGCCCGGGCGTCTTCGTCGCTGCCGTTGTCCCCGCGTCGCCGGCGCCGCCGGCAGGAGCGACCTCGTCGTCGTTGCTGCAGTCGCGCCTCTTGTCGTTGGCACTGCCGGCGTCCCAGAGCTGGCTGCTGGGGCCAGAAGAGAGGAACCACCGGGTTCCGGTCTCCCTGGGGCGAGCTGCCGTCCCTGTGCCCCGCGGCGTCGCTGGTGCTGTCTTCGACCTGGAGCAGGCTGCTGCGACTAGGAGAGGGAGAGGGCATTGGGTGGAGGCAGTCTCGAGAGTGAGAGCGAGAGAGAGTCCCGAGAAAGAGACGGGAGCCCGGGAGAACGAGAGAGACGTATCGGGCGGAGGCGGCGGGAACTAAGGATGGCAACGGATCGGGTTTGGGGCGGATATCCGCGGGTTTCGGGTTCTGCGGGTTTGGGTTTGGGGATGGTTTTTCATCCACGGTTTTCGGGTTCGGGGCCCCGAAACCAATCGGGTTCGGTTTCGGGTTTGGTTTTCCACCCGTGGATATCCAATGGATATCCGAAATAAATCATTTGGAATTAAAACTCATGTTTTATAATATACTAATAATAATTTGTTTACTTAGATTATTAAATTTATTTAAAGTTGACTCATGAAAATATTTATTATTTGTTGCCTCTTATTTATACATGTGAATATGTGTATATATATCCGCGGGTTTCGGGTATCCATTCGGGTTTTGGGTATCCGTTCGGGTTTCGATCCACGGGTTTGGTTTTGGTGATGGATTTCCACCCGAATCGGTTTTCGGGGCGGATTCGGGTTTCGATTTCGGGTTTCGGTTTTGGGTGCACGGAGACTCCACCTGATCCGAACCCGACCCGTTGCCATCCTTAGCGGGAACGGCCACTCGAGACAGCGAGTGGGATTTTATATGTAGGGTTTTTTTCATCAGAGGCATTCAACGGTTAAGAAAGCATATAGGACATCTAACGGCTGGTAGCAATCAGGCCGCTGTCGTGCCATCTCATTAGTCGTGCCATGCCCGTGCCGACACTGCGGGCCGAAGTCGTGGCCCAGGCACGGCACTATGCCCGTGCCGTGCCGGCACTGGCACTATAGCCTTCCTGTCGTGCCGTGCTCGGGCCATGCTTTTTCGGGCCGTACCCGTGCCGGCCCATGGGGCCTGGCCCATTTGACCATCTATACTCATACGCACTGTTTGGGGGAAGCTGACGGTGCAGCGGCAGCAGCGCACCAGCTGAGGCTGAGCTGACTGCTTGGGATCCATGCAATGGCGAGCAGCACGCCGCGTCGGTGTCATCGTCATCGTCGTCAACTTATCATTGCTTCCAAGGCTGGAGAAGGAGAATCCATGGCGGTGGGAGCACTCGATGTGAGTGGTGAAGGCATTCTATTGCCTTGTCAAGTGAACAACTCGCCAACTCGGCCATGGTTGACGAGATGGAACCAGAGAAGAATCTTGTGAGTGAGCACGCATACTCCTGCTCCTGCCCTGCTGAAGCGACCACACACAGTCGTAGCAAAGCATATTCACAAATTCTCATCATTGTGGCTGCTTTCTTTCTCCTGCACGTACTACGTTTTGTGTTTAGGACTTTAGTGGATAACGATGAAGTGATGAACCTCAGCAGTCAGCAGCTACGCCTGACTGTCTGCTCTGTGTAGCAGACTAGAAGAGATATCATCCACTGGGACACTAGCCAGAAATATTCTTCTTGACAGTAATTTCAGACAAAAATACACCCCTCTGTCGAAGCAAATGTGCTGCAGATGAACTAAGCACCAGCAGACGCTGGAGTATATAGAATCTGACGATATGTTGCGCCTGATTGGAGCCAAGAACACTGGCATCCCCCATCAAACTGGATGCTGATCCTCCTAGAACTTGTTTCTCCAAGGGCAAATGCTGAAGAGAGCCTTGATGATGCAAGAAAATGATGAATGCATGGGCCATATACTGCTGCCGGCTTGGCCAGATTGATTTGCTGGTGGTCCATGAGGAGGCTTCGATTGACATGAAGGGGGGTAGAGCCGTAGAGTGGTCTCTGTGTCAGTGGCGCTGTGGTGTCCCCAGGCATGCATAAATAGGCCCACACAGGTGTTTGATGGAGCTGCCGAGATCCCTGTGTTCCCTGGATCCTGATCCAGCATCCTGGGCATGTTCAATTAAGATCAGCAATGCAGCATGCTCTCATAAATACTACTAAGCAGCAGTCTGAAAACGGATAAATAGTAGTAGTAGTAGCAGTGTATGTTGCAGGCACTCTTCATTCTCCAGCTATGTAATGTTTTCAGTGAGTTTAGGCTGTGGTGAGTTCGTGAAATTTGAGAATTTGGCTACTGTAGCATTTTCGTTTTCGTTTTTATTTGACAATTAGTGTTCAATCATGGACTAATTAGGCTCAAAACGTTCGTCTCGCGATTTCCAACCAAACTGTGCAATTAGTTTTTTTTTCGTCTACATTTAATACTCCATACACGTATTACAAGATTCGATGTGATGATTACTGTAGCATTTTTTGGAAAGTTTTTGAAACTAAACACAGCCTAAGTTTTTGGGAACTAAACACAGCCTGCACGCCATCTGTTGCAGCCAATTACCCAAATCATTATTCCTGACCTGAGCAACAATAAAGCCCCATACATACCGCCAGGCCATATCTACCGTTGCGTTTGCAGATTGCAGGCACATGTCACCACAAATTTGCTATGCTCATCACGGTTTCTGCAACACTGTCAGACAATGGCTTCTTTTTTTTTATTGACAGAGGTAAAACTCAGCTTTTATAGACAGCTCAAGAAGCTGTCTTGGTCAGCCGAATACACCATACAAAGAAAAGAGAAAACACTGGGGGTTGCCAGTTCACATCAAGAGCAAAAGAAGCACCTTGCACGGCATGTGCAGTTAGCATCACATCAAGAGCAAAAGAGCATCAGACAATGGCTTCTGCATGGAAACCATGTAAATGCCACCTCAGATGCGGTTGGGCCTGTCGACCCAGAAGTACTCCCTTACGAAGGCCACGACGATCACGACGTTGGGCACGGTGCAGAGCACCGCTCCCGTCACGGACACCGGCGGCCGCACCGACAGTGGCCCCCTCCGCGCCCGCCGCCGGCGCGCGTAGTCCCTGAGCTCGGCATCGGCCCACCGCTCGGGCGCCGGCTCGATGGCCGCGGAGGGCACGAGCGGCGGCGGGAGCTGGAAGGGGCACCGGGACCGCCAGGACGAGGGCGGGAGGCAGAGGCGCGCCACGCGCGGGAGGAAGATGGAGACGAGAGCCCAGCGGAGGAGCGAGGCGCCGGGACAGAGGAATGGCGGGTACGATGTGGTGGAGCCCACACCCCGCGGCGGGCACGGGACGCAGGAGGCGAGGAAGAGCTGCGAGTGGAGCGACGGCGCGTGGGACGGGTGGGTCAGGATGTGGGTCAGGGCCTCCGCACGCTGCGACCATGTGGGACTGGGAGCGGGGACATGAGAGGCGGCCCGGCCTTGGGTACGGGCTTCGGCCTTCGCCATGGGGGCAGGGCAGGGAAGGGGAGCGGAGGTGAGAGACGGCGGCGAAAGCCGGAGCCAGGACCAGGAGTCCAGGAGGTTGGGGCGATCATGGGGCGGGGATTGAACGGTGACAGGATAACTGGATAAGGATGTTTGAACGTGGGAAAGTTTCCTTGTTCATGCATTTTTTCTGTCAAATTAAATTGATTTTTTGGAATTTCTTCCTTGCAAATTGTCGATTTCATAAACCCGGGTCCCTCATGGACCTGCTTCCCAGCAAAAGCTCGGCCCAGCAGACGATGTTTAGAACGACACGTAACTCCTGAGCCAGCCCAAATACCTAACGACAGGCCAGAAGAACAATCCAATCTCCTATCGAAAGGCGGGGATAGACCAAACCTCTACTTACAGCTCTTCTTCGACGGGCGCAGTCGGAGCCGACTAAGACCAACCGACCGGGGACGCCCGCTCGGTGAGCACCCAGGAAACGAGGGGAGCAAGTAAGGCAGGGCGCACAAGTCAACCGCAATACCAAGAACCGTACCCTGTACACCTGCAGGACAGTACCGACAAGGCATGTCAGAAGGGTGCCCTGCAATCTTCCAGGCATGTCAGAACCCAAGCAGTGTTGTGGGCGTCGACGTTTGTCCTATAGTGTTGTGGGCACCATCAATTCCCATACGAGGCGAACACGGTAAAACCCCCCACATATCTCTGGGCATCGACAGTGTTGTGGGCGTCGTCATTTGCCATACATGGTGAATGCGGTAAAACCTCTCACATGCGTCTGACACAAACAGTATTATGGATGCCTACCATCATCTTGTAACCGACGACGTGGGCAACCAGACTTAGGAGCATACGTATTCTCTCCCTCGCTTGTAAGGCCGTCCCCTTCATCTATAAAAGGGGATGCTCTCTCTCCTAATACGGACATATACATTTCACGATCAATCTCACAAACACAGAGCGCTTGCTCGAATACTTAGCGCACGTAGGAGCTCCCGTCGCTCTCGGCCCTTCAGTCCGGAGTCCGACCGGACCTCTTGCACCCCCATCTTATTCCCTTCCGTTTGTAACCCCACAACAAACTTCGAGCACCTGGGCTCAGGAATAAAGTCACCGACCGACTCAAACTGGACGTAGGGCACGTTGCCTGAACCAGTTTAAACCCTATGTCATTGAGTGCTAGGCCACATCCGATCACAACGTATAGCAAAACTATAAATATTTACGTGTTGATCACATTCTGCACCGACAGTTGGCGTCGTTCATGGGGAAGATGTCGTACGGTCACGCTTTTGGTCATCGGATGGCCCACTTTTCTGCCATCTTTGCCATGGCAGGCTCAAGCGATACGACTCGCTTCAGCTCACTGGAGTTTCCCGTACTCCCACCTATTGGGATGTGGGTTCCACCCGTCTTCGAACCATCTCAGGCCTTTCTCATTGGAAGCCTGGACTTCGTCGCCGACCGGCTCGGCATGCTACACCTCCGCGAGGAGGCACTTGTTCCGGCGCCCGTCAGAAGAGGCGCGTCCTCCATCGGCTACGGGACACCCGACGACTTCAATGGCGAGGCGCCTGCGCTTCGTTCCGAGCATATGCTCTGCTCAAACCCCAATATGAGTAACGTACGCTTTGTTATTTACTCGCTATTTACTGTCTTTCGCCGATTCTCCGGAGGGACCCCATTGTTCCTGCCGCGACCGCCATGGGACTGGTTCCCCTATGGCCTCGCGTCTCCCGCGGACGCGTACGCCTAGGGGCTCCGAAGGATGCTGGCGCCGCCCCCTCTCACATCCGAATTCATGGGGATGGCGAGCTACGCTCCTGCCTCTTTTCATGACCTCATGAATGATGATGTTGAGAGGGACGACTCTAGCATCGGCGACATCGCGGCACCCAGCCACCCTCTGTCTTGGGAGTGCGCTATGGCGGACGCTCCGGGACAGCCGCCGGTGGTGGCGGAGTTTCTACAGACCCACACCCCTCCGGACCCTCGCGCGTATGCCCTCGCGTGTGCCTAGGCACACGGTGAGGAGCTATGACAAAGGCGGCAGAACCAGTCACCACCTGCGCCGGCGTGCTTGGCGCACCACGATGCGCCCCGTGCGCGTAGCCTGGCGAGCGGCGCCCGGGGTCACACCCGCCAGGTCCAGCGCAACATCATCGATGGGGGAACGATCCCCCACAGTTCACTCAGGCTGGCCAGAACATTGCTGCGGCAGCGATGCTCCTGCGCGGCCTTCCCGAGCCGGACAACCCCCAGCAACAGGCGATCCACCGGAACCTCCGGGCCCTAGTTGAAACCGTCGCCGTTCAACAGGAGGAAAGCTCCGCATCGCGCCACCGACTCACGGCCTCTCTCCCCACTAGGGGAGCGGGGACGCACCAGACGCATCGCTCCATCCGCTCGCCTCTACAGCCATCAGGCGCGGAACAGGAGGTCGCAGCTGCGCCATGACCTGACATGGCACCCGCTCCACACCGACCACCTATGCCCGAACGCCTCGGGCTGAACCAAGATGCTCGCAGCGTCATCAGCAACCGGCGTCGGGCCTGGCACGATGATGACGTCCATCGGGCGATGGTGAGAGCAGACGACACGGGCTCCGGCAGGACAATCGAGGGAACCGGTGAAACGCACCCCAAGCGTGGTCACCGACCCAACGACCGGAGTCCTAGCCCAGATGTCCTGGGACCATGGCCTTTGGTCGGCGCATCCAGAGAGCGTCGTTCCCACAGCGCTTCCGACCGCCGACCAACATCGCCAAATATACCGGGGAGACAAATCCCGATATATGGCTCAAAGACTTTCGGCTCGCCTGCCAAGCCGGGGGAGTGGATGATGATCACTTCAACATTCAGTACCTCCCCATCTGCGTGGGGCAACATGTTCGAGCGTGGCTCAAATTCCTCCCTCACAACAGCATCCGTGACAGGGCGGACCTCAAGAGGGTCTTCGTTGGGAACTTCTAGGGGATGTATGTCCGCCCTGGGAACTCCTAGGACCTCAAGAGCTGCTAGCAGGAGCCCAATAAGTCCCTATGGGATTACATCATCAAGTTCTCAAAGCGGTGCAACTCCCTTCATGATGTCGTTGATGCGGACGTCATCAGCGCATTCCTCTCTAGGACAACATGTGAGTCCCTGATCCACAAGCTTGACTGCCTGAAGCCCCGTACCACCCGCGACCTGCTCGATGTCGCCACGAACCACGCCTCCGGAGAGGAGGCGCTTGGAGCAGTCTTCAACGGAGGCTGGGACAAGGGCAAGGCCAAGCGCAAGAACCAAGATGAGGGCCCCTCCACGTAGAGGGGCAAGAAGAACAAGAAGGATCGGCGCCGATCGGCCAACACCGTGTTGGTCGCTGTAGCTAATAGCGTGGGCAAGCAGCCCCAGCAGGGCTTGTCTGACCACTTCAACAAGCTCATGGATAGCCCCTGCACCAACCATGCTTACCCCGTCAAGCACCTCTACAAGGACTATGAGCTCCTCAAGCGCTTCCTGCGATAAGCTGGTGGGCCAAAAGAAGGAAAAGGCAAGGAGACAGCAACCACGAAAGGAGGCACGGCGGGCAAGGATGGGGACGGCTTCCCCAACCCCGAGGAATGCATCTTGATCTTTGGGGGATCCGATGCCGTCTACTCCAAGCGCCAGCACAAAGTGCGCTACCGAGAGGCGTGCGTCGCCGAAACAGCCGTCCCCTCCTTCCTTTGCTGGTCGGAATCTCCGATCACTTTTGATCAGAGGGACCACCCATCCCACGTCGCCAGACCGGGACGCTACCCGCTCATCATCGACCCCATCATCCGCAAGAAGTGCCTCACCAAGGTGTTGGTGGACAGAGGCAGCACCATCAGAGGTGGCCCAGCTCACAAGATCAAGGCGTGCACGGCGCTGCTTGGCATGCACCGCAAGATATTATATAGTACCAAATAGGCTACTTTCCTTATAACCCTACCCCTCCAGAGTATATAAGGAGAGGCAGGGGTCCCCTAGTGGACAGATCTCCATAGATCGATACATCTCAATGCAATACATCAGAACACAGGATGTAGGTATTACGTCATACTGACGGCCGAACCTATCTAAATCTTGTGTCTTGGTGCTTGTATTACCATCTCGCTCCTAATCTCGCTCACCTCTATGACAAATCTACCATCATGGAATACCCCTCGGTGGACTGCCGAGCATCTTTTGTCGACAGTTGGCGCGCTAGGTAGGGGTGTGTGCTTGATCCCATGGCGAGCCAGATGGACCTCAAATGAACAGCGTGTTCTCATCATCAATCTCACGGAGATCCATGTCGGTCCACGATGACGATTCATCGCTGGCTACACCAGCCCCCGCAACAGCAGATCCGATCTCGGAACCACCTCCGAGGTCTTCTTCACCAACAACTCACCGCCCACCAGGTGCTCGCCGTCAACGCCGACCAGATAATGCCATACGTCGCCGACCAGACTTTTTGTCTAAAGCTAAGTCACATTTTAATATTCTTCTAAATATTCTCCAATCTCCGTATATCGCCATAATATTTCTCCGAGCTGTTTTCTCCATGTTTGCTCTCCAAACGATTTTCTGAACCCCCGAACAGTCATGTTGACGCTCGGACGCCTCCAGAGATGGCCCTGTCTTCGGCTCCTTCCTACACGTGCTACGGGCTCCACGGTCTACGTTATGGGTGGTCGGCAGCGGTTCCGTGGTCATGTCTGTTCCTCCTACACGTGCGCGGGCTCCGCGCTCGACGTTTTGGACTATGGGCTAGCTAGGGCTGGAGACTCAGCTACACACTATCTGGTCGGGCGGTTTATATTAAATATAAATACATCTTCGCTTCAACTGATCGCTGAGCTACATACGCTTTTTTTCTCCATAGTTTATATATTTTTACATCATGTACTACCCGTTCTACATGTTTGTACTGCAGGATCATTGTCCAGGTGATCGGACCACCTGGTGCTCGGACTTCTCCACCGATCAACTGGTCGGACCGCTTGGTTCATGGACTCCGGT